TTTTTTTTTTTTTCTTTTTAATCGTGCTTTGTTCTGTTACCGAGCTGCTGCCCTAAACTTATAATCCAGCAGCATTCTAGACAACATATGCAGACACCATCAGTGTGGCATGTCCTACAAAAAGCAGTGACCTAACTGACAAGAAGGTGGAATTTGCCCTTCTACATTGCAATCGCTCCTAGTGCTGAATCGGCTGGTGCTTTTTAGGACCTCATGGGAATTGCCTGTAGACGCTGCTCCGTAATGATGACAGCTCGAAGTATCTGTACCATTCTATTTTGAATGCTGTTTGAATGCTGAATGATCTGAAGGAATGTATCGAACAGTTTCGTCTCATCCTGTTCGATTTCAGGCCCAGAACTGCTGGGACCAGAATCTACTGGCTACTTGCAGGTAGGAAATGCGTTTTCCTCCGGCCCTCGACTGATAAATTTGGGTAACCTCTGATTCATGATGGGCACCGATTTGTGGAAAAAAATTGAAAGAAACCACTGAAATGGCTTAATAAAAATCAAATTCGATTCCGGGCGTGATGGTAATTCCGTTTACTCAGTGCTCACTCACTCACTTACTGCCGGCCCGTCATGACCACTGGCACACACAGGACAACAACAAAGGACCTCCACAGCTATCTTTCCCCAGCCAGCTTTTGGATGGAGTACCAGCTGTAGCCGAAGCCCTTCATCTCTGTCTCTATAGTGCGTAGCCATGTATTTTTGGGTCTGTCCCGCTAGCGCCTACCATGCGATGTTCAGAGGAGTGCCGTCGGCTTAGAAACAGAGTCTCCCTTCCTGCTGATGACGTGAACTATCCATAGTCATTGTCTCCGCATGATGATGTTACCCACGCTTCCTGTTTATACAGTTTGTACTGTATAAGCAATTCCTTGTTGGAAATGGCATGAGGCCAGGAAATACGAAGGATCTTTTGCAGACTTTTTTCTCACTCTGTGCGCGTAAGGTGACTTTCACTTAGCTGGTAATCCTAGTATTCCCTAACCGAGTTTAAGACAAAATCCGATAGAAAATCGAGGAATTTCAGGCTTTAGTGGACAAAAATCTGGTACCATAATAATTTTAAATATTTTACAGTCGTTTTTACATGTTCTTAAAGCTAAATACATGAATAATTGCCTAAAAAAATACCGACAACAATTTCCTATAAGAACAAGAGAAAATAAATTTCAAAGTTCAGAAAACTTGTGCAAACAAAGGCAAAATTTCATCATCAGTTTCATTTGACCAGTACTTCCAAGTGTTTCATACGAAGTTCAACATTCGTTTGCGATGTTTGGTGTTGCTAGAATTTTTTTTGTTTTTTGAGAAGATATTTAAAACAGTCGTACAGAAGTCTGCAATACGATGTAAATAATCTTGGTACTAGGTTTTTGTCCACTTGTTACTCGAACTTCTGGTGAATTCCGTCTTAATCCCAAAGTTTCTTTCACATGGTGCTCCGAAAATTAGCTTCATAAACTACCATGTGAGGTTGGCGCTGATCAAAATTCGAAGAGCATCTAAATTTCAACATTGCCCAGAGGGTCAAATCATAACTTACATGCAAGAACTAGTAATCCCAAAACAAGGCTCATGTAATGAGCGGCAAAACAGACCCAAAGAATGCCGGGACACCTATTTATGGTCGTATCGTTGTTTATTTAGTAAATTTGCGTTTCCATAGCTGAGCGTTTGATTGCGTAAGAAATCATGCAAGTATTCTTAATCCTGATATCTAACACAAAGGTCATTGCGAATCGATCGTCCAAACGAGAACAAAGCTTGACAATATATCTTTGGACACCTGACAAATAAATGGCAAAGAAACGCTCAAATAAAAGGTTAGCCTGCGTACAGCCTCTCATAAGTAGCGACACAAAACCCTCAGCGACTCGCTTCTCTCGCCCACTGGTCTCTGGCGACTCCGCCTTTGCTGGTGTCGCAGCGTACGAAAGCCTGCTCACAGGCTAAATAAACACCCACAAAAGATTGACAACATGTCTTTGCACACCTGACAACTAAATGACAAACAATTCACGATTCTTCTGACACTGCATGAACTCTATTACCTTTCCAAGACAATTTCCTCTAACAATTCTTCGTTAGTACAGCAATATAATCTACGGCTAGGAAAACTCGAAAATTCAGTTAACATAAAGCAGCCTTTTCCTAAAAAGCGTTATAATAATTCGCCCTGATTCCGTCAGTTTTCAAAATGATGTGGATTCAACCTCGAAACAAACTTACTCACTCACAAAAGAAAACTGAATGATCAAAGAATTGTGAATGACATTTCCAGGATTTACTTTTCCTTATTTTCTGCGTTTCGAAATACAACACAGCTGTATTTACTCACATGGCAAGAGAAGATAGACATTTGAAAAAACAGAAATGCTACTGAAAGCTACTAATCTTTATAATATTCAGGGAAAAACACCTTCACTGTAAATATAATTGTGATTAGTGGTGCCCCGAGCCATATGCACGAATCGAATTCAGTTGAAATGGAAAACATTACTCTCAACCTTAGCATGAACAACAGTCTCAAAGGAGTCTTTGCTATGACGGGAGACGCCCAATGTTTCAGATTCACAGACAGCGCCGCCTTAAAAGCGCTCATGATCATCGCTTACAGTATTGTGATGGTAACTTCCATCGTAGGAAACACCATATTAGCATTCGTCTATTTCAAGAGCAAAAGCATGAAGAATACCGTCAACTGTTGTATAATGAACATGGTGTTCGCAGATTTCCTCCTGACATTAGTATACATGCCGCGGATGATGAGCCGAGTTTTTATTGGACTTAAATGGGTTGTTGGGGGAATCCCAGGACTTGTACTTTGTAAAATTGTGTCTTTATCACATGAAATTTCAATCTGCGTCTCTGTCTTGACCGTTGTAGTCATCGCCTTTGAGAGATTCTTCGCAGTGGCGTTCCCATTACGAGTGGTCATCTCGAGGAAGGTCTCCGTTGGTTTGTTATGCGGCACTTGGCTGATCGCATTAGCTGCTCGATCTCCAATGTTTTACGGTGTTAAAATGGTTCGTTTCCAATCTGGTGACCTTGGATGTCTTTGGTTTCCCGGTCTCATCTTTCAAACTGAAAGGGCAATAAAGTTTTACCATTACTTCATGGTAGTCGTATTTTATGGGCTACCACTTTTATTCATTATCACATTATACACAGCGATCGTGATCTTTTTACGACGTCGAACAGGACTGATTGATAATGTCACAAGACGAGGAGCCTTGGCCACCAACAGAAAGGTCACTAAGATGATTCTTGCTGTTATCACTGCATTCCTTCTCTGCTGGTTGTTGTATTTTCTTCTTTTGCCTTTAGACGGATTTTGGAATGGGTCCATTCCCTGTGGACTGTATTTCGTACGATTTTTCCTAGGTCACGTTAACAGCGCCTGCAATCCAATCATTTGTTTAGTGTTCAGCGAGAATTATCGAAATGGTATCAGTAGAGCACAAAGGCAACTCAAATGGCATAATCCAGGAAGGCACATTTTACGAGTATCTTCTACACGAAATCGTTCAGTATCCAATATGGAGTTGTTAAGTGTAAGGACATTAGAAACCGATGAGAGTTCTGAATATTCCAGAGCAACCCTCAATTCAGCTCTCCAACATGGCGAACATTGTGTTTAGTTTCTTTCCGGGATAGTCTTGAAGCATGACCGCAAGCAGCCTATGGCACTTCGAATTCATGACGGTTAACATTGGTTTTTAAGTTAGTAGCTGTAATTTTTAATGGATCTTAAATTTTGCTAGTTTTAGCCACGCCTTGTTCCTTCTCGTTGATCTCAACTGTGACTTCCCGTTTCCGAGATTTGGAATATAATTTCCCCAAATTGAAATAATGCCCCTGATGAAGTTTGATAGCTACCAGTGTGGGACTTGACTATGTAAAAAGAAACAAAAGCTAGCTTGACCAAAATTAAAAGAACCAGCTCAATAAAAAATACGTCATTTTCTTTTTCTTGCGTATGGACGTCAATTTCTTTTTAACCCTTTTCGAAATGGACATGTTAGCTGAAGCTGAACAGCGTTTGCGTGTGCAGTGTTTGCCGAATATTTCACCAGTAACAAGTGACGTCATACACAACCGTTCCTTGGGGTCAAAATCACCTAAATGGAGATTCACAGCCTAACGTTATAATTGCCGTTTAATGGCCAGTGTAATTCCTAAATACATTTAATCTGTCAGTACGGTAGTTGGCGCTTGGTGTGCAAGCTATTCGTTTGTTAGGCTGCGGTTTAACTGGCAACCGTCCACGAAGTTCAAGCCTTGCGACTTTAACCTTAAATTGACAAAACATGGGTTCTGTATAGCTAAGAACCTTGGCCGTCGTTCCTTGATAGTAGATTGGTTATAATCTTCACGCGGACACAATGACAGGCCCCGTCCACACTACATCGGGAGAAATTGAAAACGGAGCTTCATTGTTTTCGGTGGGCCTTCTGTCCGTGCTAATCCGTCACAAAAAGGAGGTTCCTCCAAAGCGTTGAGGTTACGATGATCCTGATATCTCCCTGTCCGAGTTTTACTAAAAAATCCAAAATGACCGGTGATTGTTGTGTTTTCAAACTTCTCTGGTGTAGTGTGGACGGAAAACATTTGATGGGTTTTCAGAGTAAAACCTCCGTTTTCAAATTCCTCCGGCGTAGTCGTCTTGTATATTGTCACACTAATTGTCCCATATTCCAATTGTTTTAGACAAGAGATGTCAGAACAAACTACCGGATGGGGTCAAATTGAATTCAAACGATTAAATTAGGAACCACGTCATTTACTCCAAAACTAAATTTTGCGACTACGTGCCTCATAACAACAATGGTATTCAACCTGGATTGTGTAGCTTTTGTAGCATTGGGAGGAACGATAAAGAGAGCATTGGTCGCATTAAGGTCCTTTCTTGCGTAAGAGATTAAAGCGTTTCTGTTTACAAAGGCGTACTGTACATCAAGACACAGGAATACTTGCCAAACCGAGAAAATCTCATCAAATTGAGAATAATTAATTGCAAAATATGTTTTTGGAATATCCAAAGGAAAGCGTTCAGAAACATGTTTCCTTAAAAGTGTCCAGATCTGTATATTTTACCACATCATTCTCGAAAACTCATACGTTTAGCTCTGTACAATATCAAACTCTTGTCTTTCCAATTTTTTTTTTTTTTTTTTTTGCATGCTTTTTAAGTGTTTTTAATTATGAAAATCGGAGACGCTAATCCGAATGATTGGTCGATAAAATTTTCCACGAGTGTGGTTTCCTTGGCAACCATTCTGACAAAAAGTGAGCTAAGTGAGATTTAGAATTGTAGCTACAACATTTGATGTCAATGATTGTTTCTTAACTTAGTTCCGAGTCCTGGCCACATAGCAGAACTTTATAGTGCCTAGTTGTCTATTTCCAACTGTTTTTATCATTTGATATCTGAAAGAGACATTTCTTTCACGGAGTAATTTGTTCTAAATAAGCAAAGCTAAAGCACCTGCCAACTGAATAAACACAACTTGGTGAAAGCGAGGCTTAAAGCTTTGATATACAAACACTGTAAATGATACAAAAGCCCAAGTGTCAATAGAAAGCACACACAAAAAGCAAAAAGTGTCAAATATTAATTGAATATATCTTGAAAAAACTAGATTGAGCTTTTTTCCAACTACAATATGACAAACAGATTTCTTACGTTTTGAGACTAACGCGAGGATGAAAAATAATTGGGCATTTACCACTTAACAAAAGCCTTGTTCTCCTAATAAGGGGACATCTCGATTTGTTTAAAGTACACATGGTTTTCGATTTATTTAGGGTTATAAAACACAGTTCGTTTTAATGACTTTTACTCGGCGTGGTTCGCTCAAGTGCAAAAGTGTCTGTGATAACTAGACTGACCGTACGGAGATCTCCTACGAAATAACTGCAGCTCTTGAGAAGGGATAACTCACAGAGTTTAATTCTACAAAGGAGACCAGCTCAAAATATGAAGGAGAGTTAAAGGTAAAATGATTTCCAAATTCTGTGTAATTGGCTTACCTTTTATCAGCACCAGATTTCAAACAAGAAAACACTCCGCAAATTACGATTACGTTGCTCCACTCTCTTTGTTCATTAAAGGATTTTCTACCGTCTAGCGCCTTAACTTTTAAACAAGCTTATTTCATTTTCATATTCACTTTTATTATGCAAGCTTTCAAACAAAGGACATGTTTTGTAGTATTTCAAAAACAGCTTGACGATAGCTTGTGGGAATCACTGACTACTGAGACCTTTTTGGACAAGCTTTCAGTGTTAAATATCATTTAAGAGGACGATGTTATAAATGCCTGATAGAATTTGGTGCTCATATAAATTGAATATCTTTTAATTAAATTTAATGTAGTAGGCAACAAAGATAGGCTTTCTGCTGCTATATTTTTTCTGGACATCTTAGTTAGTTTCTCTACAAAAGAATCACCTTTGATTTTTTTTTTTTCTTTTTTTTTTTTTGAANTTTTTTTTTTTTTTTTTTTTTTGAACACTTCTTCTTTACAGAAACAGGACTAAAGATACCCTTTTACAAGCGACCTAAAACAGGTAATTTATTTACCAATCATGGATGAAAACTTCACAACTAACTCCACTTCTGTGACCAACCGAAAGTTGATAACAATATGTTTCGAATCTGACCACCCTGCCATCAAAGCTAGTCGAGTGTTGGCATACGTGATGATCCTACTTGTCTCACTGACTGGAAACACATTGGTTATTGGCGTTTTGTGGCAAGACAGAAAGATGAGGAAACCAGTAAATTATCTCATAGCAAATATGGCCGCCGCAGACTTGGCTATAACTGTGGTATACATGCCCCGAATGATATCATCGGTCATTCGAAGCTATGACTGGCTGGTCAGAGGGACACTGGGTCTTGCCTTATGTAAGACAGTTCCCACACTCCACTTGGTATCGATTAAAGTGTCTATTCTAACTCTGGTGTTTCTGAGTGTCGAGAGATTTCTGGCTGTTTCCGTCGTCATAGGAAACAAGCTTACAGTTCGCAGAGTGAAGATCATTTTTCTCTTGGTTTGGTTGACGTCTTTGGCAGCTCACGTGCCTAACATGTATGCCCTGAAACTCACCCCTGGTCAGAAAGGCGCTCTGATATGCCGCGCGTATCTTAACAAGTTCTTTGGAAGCTCCAATGGAAGACGAATCTACGACAACACTTTGACGGCCATATTTTATGCCATTCCCTTGTTTGTAATAATCGTCCTCTACTCCATGACTGCAATCAAGTTAAGAAAAAGGAAAGTCCCTGGAGACTTTGCCAAGGAGGATGGAGGCAAAACACGCAGAGAAAAAATGAACGCCAATGTGTTTAAAACGTTGTTCTCCGTGACGCTGGCATTTTTTACCTGTTGGCTTGCTTATTTCATCATGCGCAAAGGAGTTATCGGTGTTAGCATATCATGCAATGTACAGTTCATTCGATATTTCTTCGCACATGCCAATAGCGCCATTACACCTTGCCTTTATATCATATTTAGCCAAAAGTACCGCAGATGCTTCAAGAGCATCTTGACGCGCCTGGCCTGCCGTGTTCGACGTAGAGCGCAAAGCGGTACGACGCTGTCCCTGATATCCCAGTCTGCAACCAGCCTTGGGTCGTTGAGTGTGTTTCCTCAGAGTGTCAGCCTTGTCAGTCTCAAACTCAAGATGGAGGACAGAATGACACCCCGCGAATGAATCTCAGTGTTTCAATAATCACACACCTGTTTACTTCAATACTAGCAAGATTCATGAACAACAGAAGAGATCGGTCAATGGTTAGTTATACAGTTGGCTTTACCACTGGCAAGGGTGGTCTTGTCTTCTCGTTGTTTTTAGAGTGTGTAGCAAAGCGTTCCCGTACTTAAAACTTTTTCTGCATTCTCAGAGCCGCGCACAATATGGAGCGATAGCAAAAACTAAAAATAAAAAATCGACGAAGTATGATGTCGCTCCAATTTGCGCGGGGCCAGAATGCGGAAAAAGCTCTATGTACGGGAACGCTTGTTTCGCAGACTAGCTGTTCTTATACTTATGAGGCTCGCACATATTTAGGAGAACCGGTGCAAAGGCTCTTTCACAAACTACATGTAATAAGTATTTTTGCCATATGCAAATTACATGTAATATTGACATGTGGGGAAACATCACGGTTAAAAATAGTGATAGATTATTAATGAACCAAGCCATCAGTTAATGGATAGGAGAAAGAGACGGAGAAATACAACGATGAACGTGCAAATGGTTGCAACTCTTCATAGAGTCTTCATAACTCTTTCGAACGATTTTGAAAATATTCGCCCGAGGGCTCCTTGAATTCTCTTCCACTCGGTCCAATTGCCATTTCTCTTCAAAAAGCCACTAACAATGAGAAAGTTGTTGTAACTTCTAACTGACGGCTGGCCGGCTAACTACGCCGTCTATAAAACGAGGAGACTGGAACATTCCGGTAACGAACATAACACACGATGAAACTTTATATAACGAAAAGATGTAGAAATGCGAAATTTTGCGGCACTTAGCAGAAAATGAAAGCCAACCGCGAGAAAACAGCAGTGGAACTAATCGCAAACAAACTAAATTTCTTCTTGGCCGCTAAAATGTTTAAAGGAAAACTGTGTGTAAACAGATCTGAAAAACCTACACATGGTAAAAATTACTCGACCAGTTTAAATTTTAATTTTACTTTTCGTGCTCTTCTTTATTATTCCGGAATGTTCCGTGCTCCTGATTCCTGATTTTCTCAATGCCCAATGATGCGGCAGCCATTTCATTCTGTTCTTTCAAATAGCTATTATGGGATGCTCAGGGGGTAAATTGGTATGTATTTGCCCCCCTAAGCATTCCTGTTTGAAACAATAGAATTCAAATGAAAATGGCCGCTGTATCACCGAAAAGGTCCATTCACTGTAATCAACAGTAGCTGAATGCAGCAAAGAAGCCATGTGTAGACAGTTGCCAAACGCTGGTACAAGTAGCATGGATACGATCAAACTCGATAAAATGACAATAGCAAGAGCAGACAGAGAGACAGCCAGCCAGACAGACAGACAGACAAACAGACAGCAAGACAGACAGGCTGAAGACAGACAGACAACTGGGCAGATGGGTAGAAGGGTTACCCAACGAACGAATTGGTATTGAATAATAGAACCTTTACAAGAGAGTCAGTAAATGACTGTAAGACGGGCGGGCAGGAGCACAAACATATGTAAGGTATTGGAAGGGACTGAGGCAGACCATGGCAGGCCTAATTTGACAACTATTTAACAGACCAGCAATTGGCAGTACCTAAAAAAAGGAAAGAGCCGGGTTTTCTATGTAATTGCTACCTCTATTCAACGACTGTCACGTGATATGCAATAACAGAACGTGACGTGCAATATTTGACTTAAAATGAAAGGACAAAATGCCTCAACGTTACAGTATGACGACAAAGCTCTGCTGGATGGCTGACAAGACGTGCCTGTTTTGAACAAAGCATTTTTTTTCCATAAAGCAGTTTATTTATACTTGTTGATATCTCTAGAAATTAAAATACAAATACAGTATAGTCAGTACAATATCTTACGATATTGGGCGATTGTCAATGATGGTATTGTTTACATTTGCCTTATTGGCATACGACTTTCCTCAGAGAAGGCTTCGTATCAGATGCACGTTGATTCTAAACATTCCAAGAGACTGCAAAACTTAGTAAATATTGGTAACGTTTTTAGCTCTTGGGTATAATGTACACACACTGTAGAAGGGGATGTTGGCTTTCAAAAACTGCAAAATTTCTTAATGGTAAAAGCGCCAATAAGCCCATATTGTACATCCTTTGTGAAGGTTTGAGTTTTTGAACCTGCGTCGCACAAAAAGTATTTAAGAAACACTAGGCAAAGTAAGCTTGGACAGTTACTCATACCACTGGCTTTTCAATTGTTGTAGCTCATATTTTTGCTTCTCAATCAGACCCTGAAGTGCTTATGCCAATAAGGCAAATACCGTAAACAATGATTCTCCTACTGTTAAGTAAATATCCTTGCACCAAATTTGTTTATTTTAAATTAAGTTAAATAATTTAGTCTTAGAATAACCAGTGATGCAAGTTATCTTTCCGTTTGATCCAAATGTTGTATGATATAAATTATAATTTGAATTACAAAATGTACTATCTTTTAAATTCTATATAAGAACATTTAATGGATCTTACTAGTAATAGATATTATTTTACCACTAACTCCACAAGTTGGCAGGATCAATCAAATCATGTGCCATAATTGGCTACCTGAACAGGCAAGATACATGTACCCTCATTTTGCCCATTCAAGATTCTCCATTGTCCCAAGAAAGTGGTGTCCTGCACACATGTACACGTACATGTACCATATAAGAAATCCTTTTAAGACATTGACCAAGTGCCTTCTGTAAAAAGGCCTGGATGTTAGTCTTGATTGTTTTTGTCTGTCTATGGAACACCACTGTGTCTCGGTCCATAAACACACACACACACACAACAACAACAAAAAATAAATTAAAAAATGAAAGACTATTTTGGCCAACATCCAGCTATCTTTACCTCAAGCTTGGTCAATAACCCATAAGCATTTTTATTAATAAAAACATCAAGTCATGGAACATGGCTAATGCAGTTCCGATGCTCCTCCCACGATACAATAGTGGGGAGAAAACACAAAAGACATATTCATGGGGGATAAGGGAGGAGGGAGGCTGATAATCAGCTTTGAAGCACTCTTCTTTCTTTGCGCAGTTGATATCTCTTCATCCCAGCATCAAAGCGTTTCCTTTCATCATCAGTCTCAGGTTCCAAAGGGGGGACAGCCTGAGGTCGTCTTTTGTCATCCAGGGACACAAAAGTGAAAAATGCACTGCATGCTCTGACACTCTTTTCTGGAATTTAACAGTTAAGATGTCATTGAATCTAACAACAGTCGCCAACAATTCATCAGTAAATCCCTATTGCATGTAGTCAATAGTCTCCCAGATGGTGTTTGGATGTCTGACTTTAATTAGCATTTATTTTAAAGATTTTACTACTGCATTTTCTCCTTAGTTTTGATTAGGTTTTTGAAAGTCTAATGTACCCATTCTTGGAAGTAACATAATTGTCAAACACTCACAGACATTGTTTATCGCATTTCCAAATACCTTGAAGATTGTCCAGAAAACCATGCGGCATGTTATATTTTCAGCTCTCTTTGCAGTGTTTGGAAATTTGGTAAGTAAAAAAAAAAAAAAAAAGAAAGAAAGAAAGAAAAAAAAAATCCTCTTTCCACAGGTTTCACTTCCTATAATATACATGTATGTCCAGACCTGGGCTCTGCATTTCAGACCCCAGGAGCATATCTCATGTCTTTAGCATCAAGCAATTAGGAGGTACATGTAATACCCTCAGCTTACAATCCAATCATTTTGCTCACTAAACAATTAAGAACCACTGTATGACCATGTTTAGATTAATTAAACACCTTAAGATGTCTTACCTGCAAGATAGTCCTTGGCATCTACAACAACTTCTATTTCCATGGACTTGTTGCTTGTAAACGTTACCCGGCCAGTAAGGTGTATGATATGACCAAGCTTAACTGGTGCATGGAAGTCAATTGCATCTGTAATAACAATAATAAATATTAATAGGGTGACACCTTTAGTCAAAGTTATGTAGCACCCACCCAGTCATGACGATGACCTTGTATTCTCGCCTATGTGGACTGGTTCAGATGGAGTCCAATGCACAAACCAGTGGACCACTGTAACTCCCAAGGAACAAGTCACTCAACTGAAATAACAAAATTCTACTTTTGATTAACCAAAGTAGCAACAGTTCAACCCCTATTAAATGGCCACCCTCAAGGAAATGGATGATGGCTGCTTCAAGGGGGCTGGCTGCTTAATAGAGGTAAAAACACTAGAAAAGCCCCCATCAGGACTTTGATTACTGGGCACCTAATAGGGGTGGCCGTCTAATTGGGGGGGGGGGGGG